ACATCATATTCACCTCCGTCTTTGACTCATTTCCTCCAGCTCAGTGACCCAGCTCACACCCAAAGGCTCTCCACAACCATCGATGTGCTGCCTGGAGTGGGCCCTTTTCCAGGACTATGGGGTGGGGAGCTAGAGTGTGTGAGTGGGGCTCTCATGGGGCCTTGGAGGAACTCTTTCTTCACTCTCTATGATCTGTGCTCTGGAGCACAGCTTTTGTCATACAGAGGAAACTTTGAAGGCACATCTTGGCCTCCCCTACGACCGTAAAGCAAAGGCTAGAGGGGTGACAGGGGAACAACCTATCTACCAGATGTCTGGATGCTCTGGGGAGGATTCAGAGATGGTATTTGGAAGGACACTGTTCCTCCTCCAGAGCTGCAAGTAGGGTCAGGGTCTCTGATCAGCAGGGATCTAGATTTTTTGTTGACCCTGGAAAAATGCAATAAATGTGGATTTTCTCATTTTAAGGAGAAAAATACTGGAAATGGTGGGTTTCCCCTTGCGGGCTGGCACACTTCTAGCCTGTGAAGGGCAGTGGATGCCATGTGCACATGCACACATACACATGGCCACCAGGCAGCCTGGAGAGCAGCTCCCACAGGCAAGTCGGGGTGTGGGGGGGATGGGATTGAGGACCCCATAGTGAGGGATGGAGGGAGTTGGGCAGGGCTGGGGCTGGGGCTGCTGCCCAGCCTGTGCTATGCTTGAGGCCCAGGGCTGGAATGCATGGGGAGTGGGATGGAGCTGGGAGCAGCTTGTCAGGTGGAAAGGCTCCCCACCACTTCATGCACTCCCAGGGAAGGAGGCATGTGCCCCCCAGATTTGTGTGTGGGGTGGTTGCGGGCTCCCCACCCTGCTGCCTTCCCTCCAGGGTCTCCACGGCCCAGCACTGCAGGGCAGAGCAGGGCTGGGTGGGGAAGCTCGATGCAGCCACCATGAGCCCCGTGCCGTCATGTCAAGGTGCCTCATGCCCACCTGGCAGCAGTGGGAGGCACAAGTCTGCACCACCACTCCTGCTGCTGCTGGGCGGGCAGGGGGTGCCTCGCCACAGCAGTGTTTGGCTCATGGCAGCACCAAGCTTCTCCGCCCTGCTCTGCCCTGCCACGCTGGGTCTTGCCCGCTGGGTCATGGAGGCCTCAGGGCAGCAGGGTGAAGAGCCCACAACCGCAGCAGGCAGCCCGCACCTGGCTCCCACATGAGCTCTGCTCTGGCCGTGCTGTCCATGAAGGAGGGGAAGCTGGGCTCTGCGCTCTGCTTTGCCACAGCAGCCACTGCCTCCCATGGGTGGCAGCCAGGGCTCAGGTGCTGCTGGGGTGGTGGGGCAGAGGGCTGTGGACCTGGGTCCCTGGCTTGTAGCCCTGGCAGATGGGGGTCCCCTCTGGGAGGGCTGTGGGTGGGGAGTGAGGGGCACCAGCAGGGCCAGGGGGCTGCAGGTGGGGAGTGACATATTTTGGGGTTTTTTAATGAGAGAATTTGTGGTTTTATCAAAGAATCTGTGATTTTTAAATAGAGAAAAATCCCTGTCACTCAGGCAGGCCAGCCCAGGCCATCTACCGTCAGAGCTTCTAATCAGGTAGGTCAGCCTGGGCCAAGTACCGCAGCAGCCACACCTGTTTAAACCTCAGCCAATGAACCCTGCCCCAGTTGAAGAGGATCCAGCATCCCGATTGGCTGCTGGGAGCACTGCCCAGGATTTTGAAAAGGGTGGGGTGCAGATACTGTGGTGCAACATCCCATACATCACAAGACACATTTTTTCTAGAAGCTTTCTACATATGCCAGGGGCCTAGAGCTATAGCATTCAGTTTAAGATGGAAGCAACCCACTCCCCCCACCCAAACAAAACAAAACAAACCCCCTTAATGGGAAATGGCATTGATTTGCTATATCATATGTGATGTCTAAACACACAACTAACTAGGCAAAAATAATCCAAAGCTGTTACTTCATTAGTTCTGTAGCCACTAGAATTAAATCCTTATCTCTTGCAGATTCATAAATTGAGCCTCTTAGCAGCGCACCCAATGCTTCCCTGAACGTTATTTCCACCCCTGAGTTAATGTTCACCTGAGTTAACATTTCCACACTTGAGTTGATGTAGCTAGAGTTAAAAACAGTCTGCGGGGCTGGGAAATAGGAGTTGTGTTAGGAGGAGCAGCTAAGGGGCAGCAGCAGAATGGCAGCAAGGCTGGCTTGATTAGCAGAACCATCAAGAAGGAGAGAGGGGCTGTAGCAGACTGGCTGGCCGAGGCTTGCCCCAGGCCACACACCCCTGGCTGTAGCCAGCTGTAGGCTGGCAGGGATGACAGCCCAGCTGCAGGCTGTTGGGAGTGATTACAGGCTGTGTGGGAGGGCTGGGCCAACTGATGCAGATAATTGGTTGGCCACAGGAAATGAAGAGGTTCCCAGGGAAAAGAGTCAGAGACTGAGAACCAGAGACAGAGTGGGGGGCTTGGCTAGCAACTGCAACACTGAGCCAAGGACTCTCCCAGGGTCTGGCATAAGACTCAGGGCAACAAGGCTGGAAGCAGCAGCCTGAAGACCAGGATGGGGAGCACATGTGAGAGGAAGAAAGAAGACGGTGCTGAGGAAGCAGCACAAAGCTGGCAGCACTTTCTCCGGATGTAGGAAAGGACCCCAGGACTGTGAGTCACCTCTTTATGAACTGTGTTTAAAGACTGTTGAGCTAAGCAAAAATACCTGAACCAGGGCTGGACACAGGCATGGGTGAACTGGGAGGCCACTCGGGGCCCGGACAGAAAGGGGACCGGAAAGTGGTGAAAATAATGACTATTATGATCATTATCTCTGGCAAAGGCAGGGCCTGATACTAAAAGTTTGTCCAGGGCCGCCAGGAGTAGGTACGGTGCTGCCCTGAACCCACTACAGGGGTGGTCGTGAAGAGTTTGTAAGGGATTGGCTAGAGTATAATGAACCATGAAGTCAGACTCAGAACCTTCCACTATAGCTGGACCAGATGGCTGCCCCACACATGCCCCTCTTTGTTCCAGCCCCAAAGGATTCTGGGAAGGGTCCCTATGGAATTCTGGGAAGAGGGACCTGATAATCTCCCACCCACAGGTCCATGGACATCAAGGAAGCCCAAGGCACAATCCTCTTGAGCTCATGCCCAAAGGTCTTTCCATCTCCCAGACGCCAGGGTTCCTGGAGTCAGCCCCCATGCCTTCCTCAGTTCACAGGCCTTAGATACTGTCACCTTGGCCCCTGCAGAGCTTGGGGAGATATTGCAGTGACCCCCAAACTGGGACTTGCTGCAGAGAAATGGGGGAAGGGAGGAGTAAGGCTGCAAAAGACTGAAGGGAAGCAGAGTGAGAGACCAGCTGAAGCTACCCCATGGCCTGGACCCCCAGTACTGCAGTCTTTGACCCTCTACAGCCCCAGCCTATGAGGTTGGAAGGCAGGGAGGGTGCCAACACCAAGGGAAACTCCATACAGCAGTACCCACAACAACCCTCTCCTTGCCCAGCACCTGACTCCCACCCTCACCTGCTCCAACCCACCCAGCCACACTGCACCTAAGCTGGAATAGACCCTAGGTGTCCTGGCTTCCAGCCATCCCTGCTCTAACCTCGTAGATCCCGCTTCCAGCTCAGGGCAAGAATCCAGATGTCCAGGCTCCCAGCCCCTTGTGTCACCCAGCCAGACCTTCCCAGAGCTGGTTCCTAGGTCTCCAAGTTCCCAGCCATTCTGCCTCTAACTGGCTGGACACAGCTCTCCTCCATGAGCTGGGGAGAGAACCCAGGTGTCCTGGCTCCCAGAAGCCCCTGCTCTAACTCCAATCACTTCCAAGAGCAAAGAGAGATCCCAGGTGTCCTGTCCCCCACCTTTACCTGCTCCAACCCACCCAGCCACATTCCCCACCCTCAGCTGGGATAGGCCTTGAGCATCCTGGCTTCCAACCATCCCTGCTCTAACTCACTCCCCTCCCCTCCCCTCCCACCCTGACCTGGGGGTAGAACCCAAGTGTTCTGGCTCTCAACACCCAAGGGCTGAGTCTGGAGGCTGAGTCTCAAGCCCATCCTTGCCATATGTTCCCAATGGGGGTATGGAGCAGAGGGTGCTTGGAGCCTGGACATCTGGGAGGTCTATGGGCTGAGGCTGGAGGGCCCCATGGCTGGTAGGTCTCACTCCTATGTCATGGTGGGCACTACCCAGCTGCCTACCACCTCCACAGCTAATCACGGGGCCTTGTAATTCCAGTGTCCTCCAAGACTCTGGCCCACCAAAGGAGACCTGGTCATCTCCACTCCTTCAGACCCCCCACCCCCCACTCCACTCCCAGAGCCAGGTCTTTCTGGATCTGGCAGTGGCTGGGTGACTGCTGGCAGCCACCCTGTAGATCCCACCTAGTTCAGGGGCCCTGCCAGTGGGAAGAGAATCCAGGAGTCCTGCGGCTGCTGCTCATCCCAGAAGCAGCAGTGTGTGGACCAGGAAGTCCAGCTCCAAAATAAGGGCTATTTCCCATCCCTGTTCAGCTGGATAGGTTGGGTGAGGAAAGAATCCAGGTGTCTGGGCTGAACCGTATTGGGGTACAACCCCACTTCCCTGTCCCTGTACTGGGATACAATGAGGGATCCAGGACATCTGTGTTCTTTCCCAACTGCAGGAGGTCAATTGGGCTGGACCCAAGCTTCTGGACACCTGGGTCCTTACCCTGAAATAAAGCCATTTCAGTCCTTTTCCTCCTTTTTTTTTATTAATATATTGTTTATTTTTTATTAAATTTCTCTTTTTTTCTGCAAGACGGTTTCTTTTTTCAATCCCAAAGACACGATATAAGAAATAGACATTGGAAAAGGCTTTTTGTGGGGCAGGGAGGGAGGGGAACAAGGCCTTGGAGCAAGGTACGGGGGAAGGTAGAAAATATTGGGGTTGGGGGGAATGGAGCAGATTATACACATTCCCAAGATACAGAGCACGCAGCGAGCGAAGTCGGATTTCTCATGCATTTTCCAAGGGGGCCGAGAGGGAGCATCCTGCCAGGGGAAGTGTTCCCATGATGGTGGGGCCCGCCCCGCCCCCCCGACTTCCTAACCCTACCTTCTCCCTTCCTCCCCCACCAATGAATATCAATTCTACCTTGGTGTGGTCTCACCTGCCCCTACACCATCAGACAGCGCTACCCCCAAGCCCCAGGTTGGCCTACATCCTTTCTCTTTGCCTCCCTGAAGGCAGGACTTCCTGTTTCACCCTATGGGGAGAGTTTACTCACCCTCCATGGGGTGGGACTTCCTGTATTGCACCATCTAGTCCCTGCGAAAGGCAGGACCCTGTTGTGCCCCAACCCCTGCAAGGAGAGTTTGGTCACCATCTACAGGGTGGGACTTTCTGTATTGCACCATATGGTCCCTGCAAAAGGCGGGACTTCCTGTCTCACCCCCTACAGGGAGAGCTCTACACCATAGAAGTCAAAGCTTCCTCTATTGCACACTCCCTTCCTATTTTCCATCCTCCCAAAGGATGGATTTCCTATTTCAGGCTCCGGGAGGCCCTTTCCCAAGCTCTGGGAGGTGGGACTTCTTGTCCCGCACCTCCAGGCCCTTCCCAGCCCCACAAGGAGGCCAAACTTCCTGTTTTGTGCCCTCTCCAAAATGGCCCCCCAAAGGTGGGACTTCCTGCTTTGCTCCGATGAGCACGTTATTCCTCACCATGCTGGGCGCTGGGCCCCTCTTTCCCCCATGGTGGCAGGACCCTCCTCTTCACCCCTCATTAACTGGAACATAACTCGTTAGTTATTCCGACAAGGCGAGGGAGAAATCATTTTCCATTAAAAAGCAGAAATTAAAGGGGGGGGGCAGGGAAATTCACCCACTTTTGGGGGTGTGGTGGGCAGGGCCAAGGCCGAAAGGCCTCCCCCCTTGGCTGGGAGACCCCTGCCCACCTTATGATCTCCCTGCCCCCATGGTACATTCCCACCTTCAGGGTTGCCCCAACACCCAGGGTAGAGTGTGCCACCCCCTGGGGATCCTGGGCCATGGAACACCCCAATCCTGACCCAAGCAGGGTGCCCCCCCAGTGGTGCCCCCCACTCCAATCCTCCTACCCCAGCTACTGATCCCCCCCAAAGGCAGGACGGGGGGGGAGGGGGGGAGAAGGGGAGAGGGGAGATTTTGCCGTGGTCTCAGAGGCAGAGAGGGAGAAATCTCTGCTAGAAAGAGCCCTTTGTATGTAAACCATTGCGACGAGGAGGGAGGCTGGGGCCAGGGCAAGGGGCCCGAGACCCCTGGGAGAGGGGGCATCTGTGGGGAGATCCGGGTCTTCCCACCCTCCGGCCTCAGATGAGTAAGAGAGAGAAGAGATGAGCCAAGCACACGTCCAACAGCACCACCGCTGCCACCACCAGGGGGCTGGCACCCTGCAAAGCAACATGGGTAGGTGGGTGGGTGGGGGGAGTGTCTAGGCATGCCCCCTGCTCCCACAGTCCTGCTGAGGCAAGGCCCCTGCCCGATGGACTCCTGCTTCACAGCCCCCACCCTGCCCCATGGCCCCCCATGCCACTGCCTTCCCAGAGAACCCAGGTGTCCGGGCTCCCCAGGCATCCTGAATCCCAGCCTCTGCACTCCTAACACACCAGACCCCCATCCCCTGCCTCCACCTGCAGATAAGGGAGGGAGCCCAGGCCTCAGGGCTTGCAGTCCCCCCTACTCTAACCCACCAGGCTGCAGTCCACCCCGGAGGTAAGGGAGAGAACCCAGGTGTCCAGGCTCCCAACAGCCCCCCCTGCCCTAACCCACCAGGCTGCAGTCCCCACCCCCGCCTCAGATAAGGGCGAGAACCCAGGTGGCTGGTCTCCCAACACCTCCCTGTTCTAACCCACTAGACCCGTCCCCATCGGCTCCTCCCATCATCCCTGACTGCGGCTGGATGCTGCAGTGTAGGGTGGGGGGGGAGGGGGAGAGATGCCTGATCAAGGATGCAGTTGCTATGAGATGGGAGCCAGGATGCCAGCCAATCCTGGGCTGCCACCTCAGCTGGGTGTGGCCCCATCCCTCCCTCCCAGACCAGGGAGGGGAATAGGGGCTAGAGGGAAAGGCCTGGGAGCCCGGATGCCTGGGTTCTCCTCCTGCTCGGGGAGGGAACTGCGTCTGGTGGGGTAGAGCAGGGGGTGCTGGGAGCCCAGATGCCTGGGTTCTTTCCCCTCCCCACCTCTGGGAGCACCCCCTAACCTTGGGGTGCCCCTGCCCCTCCTCTTACCTGTCTCCTGGCTGCTCCTGTTTCCTCCACATCTTGGGGTGCAGGCCCTGTGCCAGCTGTAGGCTCCAAAGCCCCTAGTGGGGAACCCTTCAGAGGCCCCTGTACATCTTGGGGTCCCCCCATGTCCTGCGGCAGGGGGTCTTCCTCTTCTTCCTCCTCCTCCTCCTCCTCTTCGCGGAGACTCCCAGAGCTGCCACTGGGCGGGGTGCCCTCCAGGGGGTGCCCTGGTGCCTCGTCCTCTTCATCTCCCTCCCATAGCCCATCGGGCACGAACCCCGGCGTCCGGGAGGGGACCCCCCGGCAGCCCCACTCCTCCTCGGGCTCTCGCAAGGGGCCCCCATTCTGTAGGGGGGGCCAAGTCCGCCGGGGGTCCCCCCGCCAGGGCTGCAGGGGGGTGGGGGGGTAGGTGGGGGGCAAACTGGGCTCGGGGCTGGCATCGGATGGGGTGACCCCGTTCTCGTACACCCCAGGGCTGTCGTAGTCCAGAGGATCTGTGTCACTGCCCTCCGAGTCCAGGCAGGGGCGTGGCTCTGGGGAGGGGGTGAGGCCACAGACAAAGGGGCAAGGTCAGCATGGTGGGGGGCAAAGGGGGAGCAGGGCTGTGCCCCCTGCCCCCGATCCCTCTGATACAGCAGCGCTAGCTCTGGGTGATGTTGGGGTTGGCAGGAGCTGAAGGTCCTGATCAACACAACCCCCCAAATTTCAGGCCCCACTTTGGAAAGGAAGAGGGGTGCTAGGGGGGATAGAGGAAATCGCAGGGCACAGGGGTGGGAGGCAGGACAGGGACCCAGCCACCCCTTATTCCAGGCCTGGGGATACCAGTACAGATGTGGGATGGGTCACTTGGGGAAAGAACCCAGGTGTCCGAGCTCACCCAGAGGTAGCTCAGAGGGACTAGGGACACCCCATTGGGCCACCCCCCTGCACACTCACCAGGGTCACGCAGGGTGGGCTGCAGGTCTTCAGCCAGGATCTTGGCCAGGTGGGAGGCCTCCAGGGCCTTCTCGGCCGCCGCCAGTGCCCCTGCTGCCTTCAGCCGGGCATCTGCTGTCCTGGAGGGAGCACAGGGGTGAGGGGGCTTCCCAGCACCTGACACCCACCCTCCTCCCAGTACCCACCTTCTCTACAGCTGGCACCCACCCAGCTCCCAGCCCCCACCCAGGAACCCAGTGCCTGGCACTATTCCTTGTTCCCGTCTCTGCCACCCATTTCCCTCCTCCCTAGTGCCCACTTCTCACAGGGATATCACCCCCCCACTCCCCTTCCCCAGCTTTTCTGGAAGCCCCCTGCCCCTCCCCCAGTTCTGGGCCATGTCCCCTCCCCCAGCATCTCTGGTCCAGGCCCAGTGGATGCTGCTGCTGCTTTGTTTCCTTAGCAACCACCAGCCCAATGCCATGGCTGCGGCCCCCCT